ACTGAGAGCTGGCAGAAGGGAGCACACACACAGGCCCCAGCTGCTCCCAGCCAGGGAAGCTCGGTGTGCCCGAATCCAGACTGTGATACCCAGAAAGATGAGATGCAGGCACACAGCCCTTCTGGCAAGCGCTGCTGCAGGAGTGGGGATCTCCAAGGAGAAGAGGCAGACAGCTGGGACAAAAGGGAATACGACAAAGCTGCTGTAGCTTTCTGTTTGTGACCTCAGGATCATTCCTCTCAGATGCACCTTCTCAGAGACAGCAGCCCAATGACTGAAGCTAATTGAAAGCTACAGCAACAATGAATGGGAAGTCTCACCCTTACCCAACACGTGGTCCTGCCAAGGATCAACACCGAAGGGATCTGACTGAAAGTGAACCACACAAACAAAAAAAAAATCCAAACCAAAAACACCCCTTGTTTTCAGAGGCACCACTGCATGACCCCAGCACTGACAAACACTGAAGACAAGAATGCCCAGGGAAGTGAAGGCAGGAGGAGCACAGAACAGGAAGGATGAGTAAAAAAAAAAGTGACAGAAGCTTGAGGTGTCAAAAGTGAAAACTCACCCAAGCAATTCTTTGCCAGTTCCACTAATGTGGTATTGGGATAAAATTCATTAGTCTGCAGCTTCACCTCTCCATCTTTTTGAAAGAAGTAGTGAACCCTGTTCATATTTACCAACTACAGCTTGTTTTCCTTCTGTTTATTATAGTAACTGAAAATAATTCAGCACCTTATCTAAAATCCCAGAAAATTAGATTTTATAAAATTCAAAAAGGACAGTGACATAAAAAAGTCAGCAGCAAGACAAATATTACAAGAACTGTTACATTAAAGTGTTGCGGATGTTACTTTCAAACCCAGGTAACTCAGCTGCTACCTAAAGTTTGCTTCGGCTCCATTCATCCAAATCCTGGCTGTGTGCTCCTGCAACATTTTTTTGCATCACAACTGGCAAGTGTGTGGGTACAGGATGAGTTGGTTCAGTGAACTGACATGATGGAAAACTAATCCTCCAAGGAAAAACAGAGAAACTTCACAAATAAATCATTTTCTGCTAGATCAAGTCAATGAATTAATTCATTCTCAGCTGAAGAATCACTTGGTCCATTGTGCCCAGAAAGGAAAGGAATATGTGGCTGGATGTAGAGGGGATGTGGAGTGACCTTTTCAGTAGCAGCCCACCCGCACAGCAGCTTCACTGTAATATTTAATACACATATATCGATATACACACATACCAATATTTGTATTTACAGTGTGAATTGTGCAATTCTATTTCACAGCATTTCCTTCTTCCCCTACCCAATCTGATATTACTCAACAATAAGTCTTTAAAGCATCTAAGATAACTAAATTCCACATGAAGTCCTGTACTAATCTTTACAAATTGCTGCTATCTGAAGTTTTCATTCTACATTCCAACAGACACACTATTCCAGCAGCATACACTCCAGTGGGACAGATCTGTTAATTACAGCTAAGTTTCGTGTTTGCATGAAAGAACCAGAAGCCTCTTCCCAGCATAATCAAAATCCAAGCAAACCCTGTCACTACGGCTCTTAGGAGTTTAAAGAATGAGACTTCTCTAATGCTCCTGAAAAGTATTACAATGACACAATTTATAAATCAGACATGTATGAAGAAGATGAAATAGTTTATTTCCCTCCTGGGGATTTAAAAAAGCACTGGGAACATCTTTAGCACTTTTCTCCTCCATGTGTACTTGTGAAGGGGTTGTTTTGGTTGGTTTGGTTTTTAAAGAACAATATTCTGGTGGAACAGAATCTTTATTTATGTCTAATATTCTCTGTAACTTAACAAGGCTCACTGGAAACCCCGAGACCTTTTTAATCAAGACAGGATCTCCTACTGCTCACTTTCTTTCCTGATGTTACTCAAACAGTAATTTAAAATTTCCACTTTAATACCATCTTTAGCTTAGCCTCCTTCACGCTTTCCCTAGAAGTGCTTCCTCTCATAGATTCTGGTATAAAGCTGATGTGGTTATCAATGAATACTCCATTGTTTGCACATTTTCAAATGCTCATAAGCCTTCCACCCATTTCCACTGTTTCCCCAGATAACCCATTTCCAATTTTCCACTTTAGCCCCTACATAATAATAATCGAGAAAATGTCGTCACTGACAAAGATGACTAATCTCTCCAGAGCTCTTATATATTTCCTTGGGTTTCCTCTTTTGCCATGTTCCCAAAACTGTCTTCTTTTTCAAGATAAAACTATTCAAGATTACAAACACAGTTTGGTAAAACAGGAAACAATGGCTTTATGTTTAAACTTGGCATTAATCACTCAGCCCATTCTTCCATCTTTTCCTTAAGACTTCCAATTTGCTTATGTAATTTCAATAACTTGCTATATTGTTTCTTTACTAGAGATTTCCCTTCTTCCAAAATGCTTATTACTGCCTGCAGCCTGAGTTTTAAACATAGCCACAGACAAACCCGTTTATAAATGCATCCCAGAAAATTACATATCGATAGATTTGCTTCTGTTTTACTTCATCCCTGCTCCTTAGAGGTGCCCTCAAATATTTTATTGGTTTATGCTTAAAACTAATTTGACAGAGACTGTCTACTTAGTCTTACATGAGGCATCACAGAAGGATTAAAATTGGTTCTCCCAGCAACTGATGCTGAGGTTTGTGCTTGTGAATATCTCAAAAGCAATGTAATTATAATCTTTCCTATGGTGCAGGACAAAAATTTAATTTCATTTCATTTTCATCCCTTGAAACTCATTGTTTCATCACAGCCTATTCCAGAGATACACAGAGCAGCCTAAAAGGCAGAGAAAAGGCAAAGAATGAAGGGCTGAAGACAGGTGAAGGACCAGAGTTGTGCTCAGTGAAGGAAATGCGCACCAGGCTGACATAAAACTGGTTCCAAGTAAAGGGAAAGGGGAACTCTGAGCCGCATTTGTCTTGACAGAGCTCAGGAATGAAAGCTGGACCCAGACCATAAACCAGCATAAAAACAGTTTAAAAAATACATAATCACTAAGTCTTGACTAGGTCAATAACAGTCACAGCAACACAGGGAAGTGACAAAATCTCCATTAATGTATGGTTAACTGCTTTTGTAAAACACAAACAGGCCCTCAAATCCAAGGCTGTGAGCTGATTAAAGGTTTAAAAGAACTTGCATCCAACACTGTGGCATTATTCAAACCCAAACAACATGGAGAAGAAAACAAAACGCAGCCTCATTTTCAGCCCATGACAGAATCTGCAGAGTGTATCAACAGAAAGGTCTTCTGGGTGGTCTTTTGTAGGGCAGAGTTTAGAATTCCAGCCTACTCATGGCTCAGCTGCATGCAGAAAAGCAGGCACACACAAAGTGCAGATTCTCTGCCTTTCTTTTGGAGTGCCAAAAACTCGAAAAACCCTCAGTGGCAACCAAACACTCCCCCAGTCTGGCAAGTACTCAGCTGGAGTATATGACAAATCTGGTACTAATGTGCATTAGGAATCCTGGAACAACAAAACAGTCTGGAGTGGACCCTTTAAGTGACAGTGGTAAGAATTAAACACATGCTCCAAAACATGTGCTGAGGGTCTGCTCCCATCTTGCCAAGCTCTTCCAATCAGGGAAGAACTTAGGGCTAACTTTCTCTTACTTACTCCCTCCTACACCAGCACACTACACTGCCCATCCCAGCCAGGGCTGTGCACACACTCTGCATCTGTAAGCAAAGCAAACTCCCAACACTTTATTGTTGGTTAGGTCATCAGCTCATGAAGAGATGTTTTCTTTTTAAATATAAAAGTGTTTAAACTTGCCTTTTAAACAACAAGGAGTTTCCACAGATCAAGGTCCAATTTTGAAATAGTAAATTTTTAAATCTGCCTTCTCCTTCCTACAAATGATCACAAGAAAAACTAAAGAAAACTTCTCAACTCTTATTTTATGGAAAGATGAAAAATACCAAATGAGGGAATTGGATATCTCGTAAGAGTTACTCAAGCAAGAAGAAACCCCATAATTATTTCGCAGTCAAAACGCAGCGATAGAATTTTCTACTTCAAGCATTAAGTAGTTTTCAAGACAATACTGAAAAAAGTAATAATTTTCCAAAGAGCAAAGTACTTCTAGAGCAGGGAGATAGGTTTTTTTCCTGAGAGTGCAAAAATACTTTGCTTGATTCTTTCACATTTAAGGGTAGCAAATTAGGAATTGAAACAAGAAAATCTGCATTCAGCATTACAAATATGAACACCCTAGCTGGTATTGGAAAAAAAAAGGAGTTGAATGAGTAAAAGAAAACATGTTTTTTCAAGGGTCAAATACACTTTAATACATGCAAGATCAACTCCTAAAATCCACCCAGACCTTGGGGTGTGATTGTGACCCTCAGTGTGAGCCACAGAGCGGCACCTGGGCCCATGTGAGCACTCCTGAGACAATCAGCACTTAACTGCAGGATAAAATCCAGAAGCCTCTGACCCTGGTGAAGCCTTCGGGATGAAATATTTAAGGAGAATTGCTTATGGTATTTAACCACACACCAGTGCCTTTTCCTCCAGAAATGTATGGGGATTTTTTTCCCAGCAGGGCCAGCACTGATCCGCTTGAGTTGCCGCGCAGAACAAGTGCTAAGAAAACATACAAGAAACCCGAGGACTTTACAAACTTAGCTGCATTAGAATTTTGGAGACTAAAACGTTACAAGGAAAATATAAAGGTAAAAAAGATCCTTAAATCAAGGTGCTAAAATCCTACCCAGCTTTCTAAACACATGGTCTCTAAGACTTATAAGGCTCAGAAAATGCTGAGCTTTCAAAATTTCCATTTCTGCCCGCCTTAGGCTCATTTCAGGATGCCCTTTTCAATAGTTTGGCCCAACTGTTCATGTGACTTTCTGGTGCCAAGATGACAGTAACAAATACTTGCATAACTACATCTATATACATAAATATTTGCTCCATTTCTACTAAAACCCCCAAAAATTTATAGAACAGTTTTGTACCTACCAATCCACCATTGTCACATGTCCAAGCACTTGGATCAAAGTCAAGTTTGCTGACACAAACAATAAATTTCTCTGGAAACACACGGAGCTCTACACAAAAAGAATTGAAAAGAGGATTACAAAAATCATAACCACTTTCAAAACCACTCATAACAACATACATGTTATTTTAGTACACAAAATGACTTGTTTTTTTAATTGCACACTAACTCATTTAATGCACCTCTCTAGCTTCTCACCTACTCTCTTCTACATGCCACCCCTCCTTTTGTTTTGTTTTTATAAGGCATTCCAAAAAATCAATAAGTAGATTAAATTGAGTTCCCAAGAGGACAGTCATGGCTGCACATTAGTCCACCTGCACCCCCGGACAGGAAGACCAGACAGAACCAAGAGACAAACCACTTAACAAGGATTTCTTTTGTGCTGTTCTGGTGATGAGTCTTTTCATCACAAAAGCTGAACATCAGGTTTGTAGCCCAGAACAACATTCAGCCAGGGCTTGGCATCAAACCTCAGCATAAAGCCGGGGCACAGAGTTTCACACTCTGGCTACAGAGATTTTTGAAGTCATTAAACAAAGTGGTTAACTACTACTGAATTTCACATTTTACTCATGATCACATGGTTTGTTATGAACACAACAAAGTTTCTGTTTACAAAGGATTGAAAATTGAAGGGTTCTCAGATTAGAACAGACAAGACAAAGCTTTGTTCAGTACCTGGCAATGCTATGGGAAGAGCACAGCTGGATATTTTCTTGCTTATATATGGAATTTTTTCCAGATCAGTATCCTCATATTTTCAGCTCTGATTTTTTTTTTTTTTTGTTGCTGGGTTTTGTTTTTATAAAAAGAGAATTTAAAATTTTTTGAAGTTTGTTATATTTCAGAATGAAGCCATAACACTGTTTTTGTGGGACAAGAAAGAGACAAGGCTTGCAGAAAAAAACCTATGAGATTGATCTCACATGTTTTTTTTTTTTTAGAACTGAAGAACAGGGCAAGTTGCTTCCAGTAATATGCTTTTATAGTTACATTTTATAACAATCTCATCTGCGGGCTAGCAAAATGCAAGTATCTTTAGGTATTCATTGATGCTTTAGAACAGTTCAAATTTAATAGACAGCAAACAGTGTTGGGATTCCAGTGCAGACACTCTGAAATTCTATTCTAACAGGACAAGTTTGATGGAATATTTAAAGTCAGCACTGATCTCTTCAGCCAATATGGACTTAGAATACAAACAGTTGGCATTTGAAGACAAATTTAAACATTTATGAATATCATGAATGCCTACAAAAACAATAAATTATTTTAAAATATCCATTCAATTATTCAGTACTGTTAAGGACTTTGCTTGTTTTTGTTTAATGCCAAGAGGACAGAGCAGAGGGCTCCTTTGCACTGGTGTTGGCAGGAGAGGATTGACTTCCCTTCCTTCCAGAGCATCCTGGCTTGAGAGAACATGAAGAGAAGACGTGGTGCAATGACATCACCTACGTCAGGATCGTACAGGTGCGTGCTGAACGGAAGCCTTTCCTGCATACACTTGTACTGCATGTGGATGTCACAAGACACTCGAGCAATAAGGGAGTGATTCATGCTGCAACCTCTGCTTGATTCACCCTGCAGAGACTCAGGAAAATGCTGAGTCTCATCATACTTACAGAATTTGGTGTGGCTTAGCTGATTACCCTGGGGCAAGACATACCCAAATTTAAAATTAAGTTAAAAAAAAAAATCCATCTTATCTCAAGAAACACTTCTCTTTTTATTTTTGTTGTTGTTTCCAGGAAATCATCTTTTTAAAATGCAAACCAAAAAAACCCCACCAAAAAACCCAAGCTCTGAAAGCAATTTTGATTTAAGCAGATGAAAATCTGACAGTGTCTTAGCTATGTTCCCTTTCTTTCTCCTCTAAGTAGCTCTGTAAGAAACTGATTTCTTACCACGATAACGTTTCCCTAGAGCACAACGGAGATTAACCCATCTCTTCATAAAGTAGGCAGTAATGTGCAAACTGTTGGCTGCAACATAAAACAAAGGGATAATATTAAGTGTGAGGGTATCTTGGGCATTCTGGTCTCAGTGTTGCACATCTGCTAAGACTGGATTGAGAAAAAGCAGCAGCAGCTCAACAATACAAAGGAAAAAGTAACTTTAATGGAATATTTTTCAAAAGAAACTGCCGCTCATACTGAAGTCTCAAGAAATTAGTGCCTGAAACAGAGCAAAAATCTAGACAAATGAACAACCACCAAGTTCTGTAACCGAACCACAGAAATTAAATTAATTAATTGATCAGAGGTGTCATTTGCTTAATAGTGTGGCGTCACGGTCACTTAATAGTGCGGTGTCATGCTTTGAAACACATTCCACAGGAACACTACAGATATCCATTTTCGTGACCGCCTTCTAGAGGAAGGTGACAGACCTGGTGAGGAAAAACAATACTACAAGGAAACCCAAGCATGAAAGGGCTCAGTTCTACAGTTCCATTTGAACGAGGTGAGACATGGCCACGTTTGAACTCCTCAGTAGGTACAGCAGCCCGAGCTGGCCTGGCTGACTCAGCAGGTACCTGTAACCTTCAGAGGTCTTTTCACTTTCTGTTCCCAAGAATGACAGAAATCGTTGTGCATTACCAGTGTAGGAAATGGACAGAACAGATTCTATTATGGCTGGGAAATTATTAGGACATCAGCTTTTACTTTTGTTCTACTTAAATTCCCAAATGACCCTGGTAAATCAGTTAGCACTTCATTCGTGAAGGTATTTAGCAACCCGACTCCCTCTGAAAGTGCACAACCTGACATCTGTGGCTCATCCTCCTCGGTCTCCCTGTGCACCTCCCTGAAATCAAACTGTGGAAGAGGGCTGGTGATATTTCCCCTAACTTGGATGGGGTTTGCAAGGCTTAAATTATTGATGCTTTGAAGACAGTCAGCTACCCTAGGTGCAATTAGCACAGATAAATCAGAATATTAAGTGCTATTGCTGTTTTTATAACCTAACCATTTAAAAAGAAGGGAAAGCTTGCTTGTTCCAGTCTCAATCCCTACAGAGCAAGTGCCAAGGCACGTTTTATTTCTAAGTACAAATGCACGTCCTCCTGAAGGGTCCCCCTCTCTCCTACTTCTACAAGATCTTCTGGAGCTCACCATCGAGTGCCCTTGAGCCTCAGCTCTCATTAACAACTGCAGTTATCAATCACAATCAATCCCTTTGAAATTTATCAGCCATCTTTTTTCCTTCCCCTCAGGAAGACACCCAAAATTTGACTTCCTTTTAGAGATCGAGTCAAGATGTGACAAGTTGAGCCATCCCTTAAAAATGATGAGCACCAGAGAAAAATTTGGATGCAATCCACCAGCTTTATTAACTGTTTACTTAAAAGAACAATTAAGGAAAATTACTTTTAGCTATTTCCAGTTTGGCATCTACAATTCTTTATCACTCCTAGTAGGCTTAGTCAAATCAAAGAATTTGCCCTGTATATAAATAAGTTATTAGTGTGATAACAACATATGCCACTGTGACCTTGGAAAGCTGAGAAAGTAGCATTCCTAAAAGTACAACTTGGAAAACAAATCTTCAGACAGTAAATATTAAAAGTTTTTCTTTCTGCCTCCATTTGTTGGCAACATTCCACACGTTTTGGGTTTTTTGTGAAAGGAATCTAAAACGAAAAAGTGTGAGTCTTTGTTTTTTACAGGAAAAGCAGGATGCTTCTCTCTTGAAATTCTTTTCTAGATCAGTGACATCTGTATCTGTTTGTTTTTCTTACTGTCCTGGTATTGTCTGAGAGGTTAAGTGTTTAATCACACGTGTTTGACTGAACAAAGTTCCAAATTCTCCTTAGAGGCTCTTGATTCAGCCAGCCACTGCTCTGTGGAAGAGAACACCTGCCTCAGATCTGACAAAATAAATAATTATGTAAGAGATCAAGACATCTCTACAAACTATTTTTGCAGCATCAGCTCAAGTCTGAAAGTCTTATAAAGCCTTCACAGGGAATTGCACCTGAGCTGATAAGCTCAGCCCAGAGGGACTAACACTAAAAAAATCATTTTAGTTTCCATGATTATTTAATAGTTTGATGAAAAGGCCTGAACAGATATTTGCTGCTAATTGTTGCTAAGCCTGAGAAAATATTAAGATGCACTACATTTAGCATATCTGCATTCTGAAAGTATCACACAGCTACACTCATTAAATGTTCTGAAACCCTCTTGCATGTGACATGTGATCTACTCTGTATCAGCTGCAATTTGAAAAACTCCCCGTTTTAAAGCTGTCAGAGTTACTGCAGAACTATAAAAATGGTGATATCCTCTTTCAGCTTCCCTCTGGGGAAATATTTTATCCAATTAACTATTCTGCTTCATGAAGAAAGAAACTTAAAAATAAGACCCACAAGAAAACTTTTTTCTGCAAGAAGCCCATGCGACTCGCAGCTTTTTAAGCTTTCTGCACAGTTACCCAGCATGAGTTTAAGTCTGTTCATGATCTGAGGGAAGAACAGACCAACCAATACGTACCAAATGCTCCATCACTAACTTCTTTTGAGCACAACACGGAAGTTTGAACCTCAAGCTACAGATAGTTTTTTCCAGTAATGTAGAAAGTTCACACATCCTGGGCTCAGCAAACCTAGTTGATCCCATCTTCGATTTCCTCTTCACAGACAAAGCTCCCTTTGTGGATTACCAGCGCACAGGCAGAAACAGAATTGTATTTAGTGACTTGAAGTTTTGGTTTTGTTTCAAAACTGGGCACTCTAAATCATCAGATCCAGGGTCCAAAAACAAAATGGAAAAACAAAACCAAACAAACAAATCAACCCCAAGGAAAGAAACGGACCCTGAAACCCAAAAGGAGACTGCACAGAAGTGGTTCTAGAAAAGCCACAGTCCAGTTTCAGCTGAAATAGGCTCAAGTGAGCCCTGCCTTTTAAGGGAACAGTAATTTGCCCTGCTTGCTGTACTGCAGAGTCCCACGGCACGGAGGGGAAGCGTCAGACACCAACCCTCCCGTAAGAGCACCCAGCAACACTTGTTTCCCCGAGGAGACGCAGGCAGGCTGCCCTGCGCTCCAGAAGGTGCCAAGAGGCGGCTGTGGTGCGGTGCAGCCCTGGGAAGCCCTCTCCCACGGCTCGGATGGACCATCCAGCTGGAGCCTGGGAAGATGCCTCTGAGCTGCTGAGCTACCTGCAGGTGTTCTCTCCCCAGCACCACCCGGCTCCGGCCTGGCTCCCTGCCTCACTCCAGGCTTGTCCAAAGCCCCAGCACACGCCTAAGGCCAACTGCCCCCAAAACATTTCCATTTCTCATCACACAGTGTTTTTGCATCATACCTATTTTCTCTCCCAGCCTAGACACTTCACATTTCTGAAAGGTTGTGGATTAGGACCGACTCTGCTTTTGGAAAGTAACAACAAAGTAAATCATTGCAGCACACGTATTAAAAATGTAAGAGGATAAATTTCTAATGTTACAATGTGAAAGCAAAAACATGGGTGCATTAGATTTTCTGAAACACTAAACTGTACATTAAAAAATCTACACTTAGCTCATGCTTGATTAATTTTTCCACACAGATTAGGCTATACCAGTAATAATGTTTACAGTATATAGAGCTTTTCATCTTCAAAGTGCTCTACAGACATATTATTACACTGCTTTTTAGCACTCATATTTCTCCACTTTAAATTATTCACCACAGAATCAAAAGTCCCAATTGTTTGTAAACAAAACAAAAAAGGGAACATTTCATTCTAAACCTACTGTTAACTGGGCAGCTTTCCTTCCCAAAAATGTCCAACTCCATACCAGGTGCTGCAGAGTAGGCTGCCATTTCTAATTTAGAAGAGATTGAAATGAAATATCAGCATTTAAGTTTAAAGCCAAGTCTAAGACAGGGACAGCAGATGCACGATATCACGTACAAAAAGCTGCTCAGATTTCCAAAGCCTTTTCTGGAATCCACTTGATATTTTTTTAAACAAGAAGCATCTTCTCCAAGTTCAAAGTTTTATACAGCAAAGAACAGGCTTCAAAACAACTGAAACGTGTCAGGATGACATCCATTCTTTCCACACAGTCTGCCTTCAGGTCAAAGAAGGTGGAAGAATCCTCCCTGCTCTCAGAACCTGGATAGCCTACTGTCCAAACAGACACAGCCCACTGTCCAAATCATTCAGAGTATGAGCCACAAACTGCAAAACTGGCCCGAGCCATTTTGAGAAATCCTACAGCAGGGTTGTAGGGCTCTCCTCCAGCAGGAGAGGTGTGGAATTCACTGCAAAATCAGAACTATCCTGGCCAAACTGGATCCAGGATAAGGCATTTCTCAGGCTGGCTGTTAGTGCTGTTGTGGAGGAAAGAATAAGGAAAAGCACATCTGAGACCATCTGGCTGCAAGATGAGTAATGCCTCTGATGGAGGTCCTGGGAACACACCAGCTCTGAAGGAAAAAAGACCATCTTCCCCTCACTAATACTTCAGGATGGAGAGGAAGGCTGATCCATTCCTGGAAAATCCATGCCCATCCATAATGTATGAGCAGTAACAGCCAGCAGCACCTGCCAAGGCATTCAAGCAGAGAGATGTAGAGCAATAGGTTAGATGGTCAGTGTACCTTTACCACAGACAACTGTTTTCCAACAGGACACAAGATTTCACTTCACCCTTTTGTTGATCTCAGACTCAATAACCACATTATTAATTGCACACGATGGGCACAAACTGAAAGCTATTTAGGAATGCTCCCTGTTTTGAACATCTAAACTGTATTCCAGAGAAAGCCACGTGCCTGGACTTCTTTAACCACTGGAATGAGCACAACAACCAAGAGAAAGGCTGAAAAAGGCATCTCTTGCTACCAGCCAAAAGGCAGAGGGAGCTGGAAGACAAACCCTGTGGTAAACATTGTCTGACAAGTCAGCAGCCCAGAGAAGCCCAAATGTCTTCCAAGTGCCTGGACTGCGATGGGGTTCAGTTCCACTGGCCAGTGCCACTTCTGCACA